CTCCGGACCAGGGCGTCCCAAACGCCCTGGTCTGCAGAGCCCCATAATCTGCCTTTCTTCAGCAATACTTCTGCAAATGAACTATTGCTACATTGCCACATTCATTTTGATTTCTTAGAAATGAGAGGAAGTAATATGTGTGTTTTCCAGTTCTTTAAATTGGGTGGTCTAGGGAGACCAGTGTAATACATCCTACTGACATCAGTTCAAAAGAAGACAGGCTACATTAGGCCTTCACTGTAAGCTGAACTGCTCTTCTTTTTAGTCTATATATAATAACAGATTACAAGTCTAAGAGGAGGCGGCACTGTGAGTAAAAATACAGGCTTGAGCAATGTCCTTCTGTGAACCTCCTGTCCTGACTATCTTGTAGTTAAAGCCTTTGAAGAATCTACTTTACAGAGGCTGGAGCTTCAACTCTCTAGCAGTGGTCAAATTAATAATCTGCCATTGCTTTCAGTAGGAAGCACCTTTAGAAACTACAAAGCAAAAGTATTTTTACAATAAATTTATTCAAGGAAACAGACAGATACCTTTATAGGACAGAGGGTTTTTATATATATATATATATGGGGGTGTGTATATGCACAAACACACATGCACACTAACCCACACCACAATGAAGTGTTTGGGTGAAAATGAGACAAGAGAGGAATATTAGCTGGAAATCTCTGTTGATTTCATACAAACATATGCTCTCTAATTGCTCAATGCCTTCATAAATATTACCTTAACCACTATGTATTCCATCTGTGTCTGTCTGGCTATTGTGTTGTCCTACTGGTTAATCCTTACAGGCCACATGCTTTGGAAAACCCCTTTAATACATTTGTTGGCTTCAGTGCAAACTCTGCCACTTGAAATGTGAATGACTTTAAGGATTTTGGCCTTTGTCACTTCCAGATACCTCTGTTAACATACAAGGAACTCTTTGCCTGGGAAAGGTAGTTTAACATCCACACATCTGCAATATAAGCAGTCTGAAATTACATCTGCCAGCCACCCATCAGGATGGTGCATGTGGGCAGAAGTTCAGAAAGTCACCTAGGCTGGGGAAGAGGGAGCCCACTTAATGCATTGCAGCACAGCTTCCTGCCCTTGGACTTCTCAAACTAATCCAGGCTGGGCAGATGGAAGTACAGGCACTGCTCCCCATTCACGGACTTGGGGCCTGCGGTCTTGCTCTTTGCAGCCGGCGAGTGGAGAGGGAACAAAATGGTGCATGTGCTCCTGTACACGGTCACTGAAATCAGTGGGACCCCAATATTGGTGATTTTTTTCCAATTTGCAGGGGGTCCAGAATGGGCCCACGTGAATCAGAAGGGACAGCTGTACAGTGGTCCCTCCACATTCGCTAGGGCAGGGGTAGGCAACCTTTCCCCTTTAAGGGCCGAGGGACTTCAGCTCCCAGAAGCCTCAGCTATGTTGGCCAATAGTCCCATGTCGGCCAATAACTCCAGGGATTCTGGGAGCTGAAGTCCCTCGGCCCTTAAAGGGGAAAGGTTGCCTACCCCTGCGCTAGGGTTAGGGGTGAAGCACCGCTGTGAATGTGGAAAAATCACAAATAAAAAAAAAAACAACACTATTCTTTTTACCTGAGAAGAAACCTCTCTAGGAATCTCCAGATCCTCCAGTGTACCTCTGTGGTCAACATCTGCCAGATATTGACCATAGAGTCATTCTGGAGGACCTACAAATGCCTAGAGAAGTGTTTTCTCTAGGAATTGCTAGGTTCTCCTTCATAATTCTATGGTCAACTTCTGGCAGAGTTGCACTGGAGGATCTGCAGATTCCTAGAGAGAACATACTAATCAAAACCACAAATAGTCAAATCTGCAAAAGTCAAAGCCGCAAATATGGAGGGCCAACCGTAAACGTTTTGCAGCAGCACTACCATTCCACTGTGGGCTGATAAAGGAACAGCTTCTTGCTCCCTTCTTTGCTTGCCCCTTTGTAGTTTTGTCCTAGAGCAAACAAGACAGCTCATACAGCACCACTGGTTATCAGTTTACTAAGCAAATACAGGCATACTTCAGTTAACAAAGGGCCTTTACAGATTGACAAAATAATGCAGCTTGAGGCCACTTTAACTATCCTGGCTCAGTGCTAAGGAATCATGGGAACTGTAGTTTATTGTGGCACCAGAACTCTGACAGAGAAGGCTGAATGTCCCAGAAAAAAAATACAGTTCCCATGATTCCCTAGCACTGAACCAGGACAGTTAAAGTGGACTCAAGCTGCATTATTTCTGGCAGTCTGTAAAGGCCCAAAGCCTCTGACAAGGAAGCTCCTTTTTATGCCCCACCAACCCTCTTTTCTCCTTATCCTCTGACTAGCTAGAAGCTTTTTAGAAGTACAGTTGTCCCTCCTCGTTTGCAGACTTCAGGTCCGTGGTCTCGCTCTTTATGGGGAGGGACAACTGCGTGTGTGCCATTAGTTTCAGTGGGGCTTGAATATTAGTGAGCCATGAATTGAGAGGGGCAATTGTGTCAGCAAATGGAGGCTGGTGAAAGAGGGTTGGAAAACACAAACCTCTGGTGTCGGGTTATCTCATAACCAGGCATGTCTTAATAACCAGGCCTGGAGCTAAAAGGAAGTAGATCTGGATAATCTTTCTCCTACAAAAACTACTGAACTGGGTGTGTTATCACTCACTTCAATTTCTTGTCCAAATAAGAAACATTGGAAAGTGGCTAGTACAATACAGGCTTTTTCAATAGAGGTCGTACAACTGCTTCCTTCAGGCATGTTGGGATCCTGCATTGCTGTAAAGGGTTTACCATTGTCTTCCGTTGAGGCCGAGAGAGTGTGACTTGCCTAAGGTCACCCAGTGGGTTTCATGGCTGAGCTGGGAAGCAAACCCTGCTCTCCAGAGTCCTAGTCCAACACTCAAACCACTATGCCACACTGTCTCCTGGACAGGAAGCATTTACCACTCCCTTTACCCACTAGGTCCATTCCTCCCTACAACCTGTTTAATGAGACAGGAGAGGCAAGGATCTTCTAGCACATATTGGTGGCTCTCATTTCTCCAAGGAGCCTGCCCACATCCATATGGATTGAAAACGATCAATCGGCATTGGACATGTAAACAGCCTTTACAAACTGCCAGAAATAATGCAGCTTGAGATCAAGTTTAACAATCCTGGCTCACTGCTAAGGAATTATGGGAACTGTAGTTTTTTCTAGGACATTGAGCCTTCTCTGTCAGAGAGCTCTGGTGCCACAATAAACTGCAGTTCCCATGATTCCCTAGCACTGAGCCAAGGCAGTTAAAGTGGACTCAAGTTACATTATTCCTGGCAGTCTGTAAAGGCCCTAAGTTGGAATGGATCTGAGTGATTTCAGGGCCTTTGCAGACTGCTAGAAATAGTGCAAATTGAGTCCACTTTAAGGGTTAGGTTTAGGGAATCATGGGAACTGTAATTTATTGTGGCACCAGAGCTCTCTGACAGAGAAGGCTCAATGTCTCAGAAAAAAATACAATTCCCATGATTCCCTAGCACTAATCCTAACCCTTAAAGTGGACTCAATTTGCACTATTTCTGTCAGTCTGCAAATGTGAAGAGCTGGGTAAATTGTTCACAATCTGTTTTCCCAATGAAGTTTTGGAAACTGTTGGTTCAAGGCACCCCAGATGCCTTCATCCAGAAATACCTAGTAGAACAGGTTTCCTGTGTCCCCCACCCTTTCTATGGGGTATGGTTTGTGGGAGGGAAAGGTACCTTGTCTGGAGTTTTGGCAAAAATGAAAATTGGTTGGGGAGGCCTGGTGAACCCCATTCCTCGCGGTTCAGAGATTCTTCATTGCTGCTCTCAGCCAAATAGCCCTACAAGCAAGCAGTGCCTTCAGCATCCCTCTCCCTTGGGCCAACTTCTTAATCTGATTTTTCCTCTAAATTACAATTGTAACCCATATCATAATTTTTAAATCTGGGTTCCTGATTTATTTATATCATGTTGTTGTTGTGTGCCTTTAAGTAGCTTCTGACTTAACGGCAAACCTGACATGTGGTTTTCTTGGCAAGATTTGTTCAGAGGAGGTTTGCCATTGCCTTCCTCTGTGGCTGAGAGTATGTGACTTGCCCAAGGTCACCCAGTGGGGTTCATGGCTGACCTGGGAATCGAACCCTGGTCTCCATACCATATAAAATGATAATTTTGCACACAAGGAGCTGATCACATAACATTATTGTCTAGCCACTGATGCTGTAATTCCCACCACTAAAAAAAAACACACAATAAATGGAACACCAACCACACATTGCCAGCCTTACAAGTTGAGATAAACTGTTTGTTTCAGCTATGGAGTGAATGCGGTCACTAAATCTGTCCTTGTTCTCTATGGCAGAACTGAAGCTGACATGAGAAAGGAAGAGGAGAGGAGGGGAGGGGAAATAGAAGGGCCTTTGCAGACTGCTAGAAATAGTGCAAATTGAGTCCACTTTAATTGCCCTGACTCATGGGAATTGTATTTTTTTCTGAGACATTGAGCCTTCTCTGTCAGAGAGCTCTGGTGCCACAATAAACTACAGTTCCCATGATTCCCTAGCACTGAGTTAAGGCAGTTAAAGTGGACTCAATTTGCACTGTTTCTGGCAGTCTGCAAAGTCCCATAAAACTTTTAATTTTTAAAGTGATAGTTAACGGCATATTCCTGTTACTGTTATCTAGTAAAGGTGGTGATACACACATTCCATACAAAAAAGATGTTCTGATCACCTGAACAGGTATTTTCAGTTCTTAGCATTTGCACAGCTATTTTCCTCATATCAAGAGAAGGATTCTGTTTTATTTATTTATTTCATCTTTGTAATTTTTTAACAGTAGGCATTCTTTAAATAGGGTTGATGCTTAAAGACATGGCAAAACAGATGTGCCTGCGTGTCTCTGCTAGAAGGAGTTGAATATTACTGTTAATTAGTGTTAAAGTGGTTTTAATGTTCATTGAGTGGATAATTCACAATGTTTTCATTTTCCCTTGTGTTTTGACACATCCAGAGTACGGCATGATTGTCACGAAACCATTGACTTAATGTTATTTTTCTGCCTTGCTTTGTTGTGAACCACAATGAGCATTTTGTTAATGGAAAGGCACTGTACAAATAAAGTGACTGACTGATTTTCAGTGAACTCGCTGATGCTTGGGTGACATTTTCCATCAGTCCCATGAATTCAGATGTAATATTTGAAGCCACAGTGCATACAAAGTGATTCATGGATCATGTAGAAGTGTAGTTCCCTTGTAAGCAGGGCTAGTTTTTTAAAAAAGAAGAAATGCATGCACACATTTCACTGTAAAAGGGCTAATAGTTTTATTAGTGTTAGATAAGAACATTCAAAAAGTTCCTATGCTTATGAAATTGTTTCCTTAAGGAAGATTCAGCTGTATTCTTCTTGGCCACTTTTAAGACTCCTCAATTCTGATAGCTGTTTTTAAAATCAGAGCCCCTGATAATACGGTTTTTAGATTACTGTTAACTGGTGCAGGATTGGATCGAGGCTTGAATGGAAAGGCTTCCTACATTTGCAAAGGGAACTGGGATGCAGTGGAAGCTTTCTGCTGGAGAACGGAGGAGCAGAACTCCTACAATGTTCAGTCTGGACAAAGCTCGAAAAATATACTGTTGGGGGCTTCTGGAGCTGTAGTAAAAAAACATAATGTTTTCATATTCATATTCATATTTCATATTCCAACAGCATGGAAGTGGTGCCAGACACTTCAAGGAAGGGGGAAATGGGGGGGGGGGGAAATCACCATTTTGCCTTTCTCTAGCAGCCACAGCGCTCCTCCGAACACATTGCAGCAATAATTCAGTTTGACACCACTTTAACTGCCAAGGCTCAGTGCTATGGAAAAGTGGGATTTGTAGTTTGTTGTGGCACCAGAGCTCTCTGACAAGGCTAAATATCTCACAAAACTACAAATCCCAGAATTCCATAGCATAGAGCCATTGCAGTTAAAGTAGTGTCAAATAGCACTATTTCTCCAGTGCACATTAGGCCATGGATTCAACCTATCTTTTTTGTAGTCCTGCTTTGTAGTACAGCTTGCTTGTTCTGTTTTACTGCTAGAATTATCCCAGAGTTAATTTTCTGACATTCCTTCTCCTTATTCACATTAATCACTGAGTTTTTATTTTATCCATAAAAAGTAACTAGATAAAAATCCTATAAATGTTTTGTATACCTTTTATGCCATAATAATATTGGCATTTGTGCCAACCAGTACTGTACTACCATCACATGAGAATATTTTGATGCATGTTGTTTGTTCATGCTGTTGCTGTTGCTATTAGGAATGCTCACCCTACCCATTTTGGACCTTTGTCTACTCTGATAATATTTCAGAAAGTAACATTACAATTGTGTATTCTCTCTTTAACATGCAGAGATGGCTGTTTGAGGAGATATGTATCCTCTTAGGATGGGTTGGACAACTATGGCAGGTCTGGAGGCATATTTTCTGCCTCAGAGACCTTGTGGAGACTGTAAAGGTAAAGGTAAAGGTATTCCCCATTGACAAGGTTGTCAAGTCACGTCCGACCATAGGGGGTGGTGCTCATCTCTGTTACTAAGCTGAAGATGGAAGCATTGTCAGAGACTATTCTGTGATCACGTGGCCAGCATGATTGCACAGAACGCTGTTTACCTTC